AAACCGGTATATAAACCCGGCACTATTCTAAAAATTATTTACTTTTTGTACAAAGGGCAACTCCTCATAAGTATGAAATAAGGGGGGAGAAGAATGAATTCATTCTAAAGAAAATCCTTCTTTTCAACCCAAAAATTTTTCTTCTGTAACAAAAAGATCAAAAACAATATATAAAAACCAAACAACACTCAAAATAGAAATAATAGACCCTAAAGAACTTATTAAATTTCAACCCAAAAAAGCATCTGCATAATCCGAATATCGTCTTGGAAATCCTGCTAAACCTAAAAAATGTTGAGGGAAAAAAGTTAGATTAACCCCGATAAACATTAATCAAAAATGAACTTTCCCAAAAAATTCATTATAACAATAACCACTTATTTTGCCAATTCAATAGTAAAACCCCCCAAAAATAGCAAAAACAGCCCCCATAGAAAGAACATAATGAAAATGCGCAACTACATAATATGTATCATGTAGAACAATATCAAGAGAACTATTTGCTAACACAACCCCAGTTAAACCACCAACTGTAAATAAAAAAACAAACCCCATAGCTCAAAGCATTGGAGTCTCTAACCTAAGAACACCTCCATAAATAGTTGCCAACCAACTAAAAACTTTAATCCCAGTTGGCACAGCAATAATCATAGTAGCAGCAGTAAAATATGCTCTTGTATCTACATCCATCCCAACAGTAAACATATGATGAGCTCAAACAATAAATCCAAGAAGCCCAATAGAAAGCATGGCATAAACCATTCCTAAATACCCAAAAACTTGTTTTTTAGCAACAAAAGTCGGGATTATTTGAGAAATCATACCAAAACCAGGCAAAATTAAAATATAAACTTCTGGATGCCCAAAGAATCAAAATAAATGCTGAAATAATATTGGGTCCCCGCCACCCGCTGGATCGAAAAAAGTCGTATTAAAGTTTCTATCTGTTAACAACATAGTAATAGCACCAGCTAAAACAGGTAAAGATAAAAGTAATAAAAAAGCTGTTATTAAAATAGATCAAACAAATAAAGGTAGTTTATTAAAAGACACACCCGGGGCTCGCATATTAAAAATTGTAGTAATAAAGTTAATAGCACCTAAAATAGAAGAAACCCCAGCTAAATGAAGACTAAAAATAACCATATCAACAGAACCTCCGGAGTGTGCTTGAATACTAGAAAGAGGAGGATAAACTGTTCACCCCGTCCCCGCCCCTTGTTCAATAAAAGCAGAGCCTAATAATAAAAAAAGCGCAGGAGGCAAAAGTCAAAAACTAATATTGTTTAATCGAGGAAACGCCATATCCGGCGCCCCAATATATAATGGGACTAATCAATTACCAAATCCCCCAATCATGACCGGCATAACCAAAAAAAAAATCATAATAAAAGCATGTGCTGTAACAATTACATTATAAAGATGATCATCTCCTAACATCGCCCCCGGCGCAGAAAGCTCCAATCGTATAAGCATACTAAAAGCAGTTCCAATTAAACCAGCTCCTGCTCCGAAGATTAAATACAAAGTACCAATGTCCTTATGATTTGTAGAAAACACCCATCGAGTTCAATAACCAGAAAGCATTTAGACGGGGCTTCTAAAAAAACCGCCTCCTCTACCAAGACAGACTCATAAAGAAAAAATTAAAAAAAAAAATAATACAAACCACTCAAAAACTACAAATTAGAGAGCAAGAGAGCTCTCCCCCTCCCCACTTCCGTTGCCGCCGACACTATATTTTACCCAACCACGTTATCCCCTACTTTGTCCACTGACCCACTCAATAATCTGTTTACTAACTGTTCTGGTATTTATCTTAGGCAATTACGTTTTCCACCATTTCCACTATTAGCCCACTCAAAAATTTGTCCTCTGACTCTTTTGATGTTATCTCTTTTCCGTACTGAAGTAACACCTCTACTAACTCGTCTTCCTCATCTGACGAATAAACTTCTCCCTCCTCACCTGACCGATAAACTTCTGCCAATAATTCAAATGGAGTGTTCTTGAGTGCACGCCAAAAATGAACTGAAAGACCCGCATCTCCCATGACTGGTACGGGTGCCACTATGTTTTCTCCTCTAATAGCTCCACTAATCGGGAGGGGATCCAAAGGTAGTTCTTCCCCATCAATTTCCATACTCTCTTCGGAGTCTGAACATGGAAACGCTGCTATCACCTCTTCATCTCACCCCTCCACGAAGCTTAAAGATGGAAACGCTCCTACTATCTCTTCATCATCTACTTCCATTTTTTCCACACCATCCCCAAAGATCAACGGTGAAAAGATCGCTAAACGAGCCCGAATCTTCTTAGAACAAAATTTTATAAAAAAAAAAAAAATCATTAAACAAAAAGATGTTTTAAAGTAAGAAAACTCAAAAAAATATTTTAAACAAAATCCCACTAGCAAAAAAAAGGCTTTTTTTAAACATTTTGCGACAGTTCTCATGGAAATCTTTTTCCATAATTTTTTTTTCACCCTAAAAAAAAGGTTCACCCCAATAAGAACTGTCTTATTCATCAACCACGCTTTACAAAAGGAAAGATTATAACTTCTAAAAAAATTAACAAGAAAAATAAAACCGAGAACCCCCACCAATATTGTATATTATAAGTACCTACCTCTAACTGTGGCATCCAAAGAGTGTAAGATTTCCACCTACATAATTAACTTTGAAAGTCAACTGTTTTGCTTAACTTAACCCCTTCAAAAATTTTAATTAAAGTGCAAAAATTAAAAAAAGTATCCCAAGAAAAAAAACTAAAGCATAATTAAATACCAACCCCGATTGTATACTACTCAACTTTTGAGTTTGAAAAATAAAAAATTGAACAACACCCCTAGGCCCAACAACCTCTAATAAACCTTTGTCAATTGTTAAATTAGTAATAAGATGTCCTATTTTATATATTTTTTTTATAAAGAAAAAATTAAAAAAAAAATTTATTTGTCAAGCAGAACCAAAAAAATTATAAAGAGAAAAAACAGAAGATCCGATCACCTGAAGGGGATAACCAAAAATTTGAGAAGAAAAAAAAAAAAAAAAAAATATCGTCCCAAAAAGTCCAATAAAACAAAATAAAATTGGAAATATTTTTATTTTTAAAGAAAGTATTGAAAAAACATCTATTTGAAAAGACCAAATTATTTCTTTACTTAAATAGCCCCAAAAAACACTTCCTAAAGTTAATATGCCCAAAGGAATTAAAAATAAAAATTCTCCTTCTTTAAGAAAAAAAATGTTTGCTCGTTTTAAATTAATATTGGATAAAAAAACTAAATAAATTAAACGAATAGAGTATATAATTGTCAATAAAACAGAAAAACAACCTAATCAATACACAAAAATTAAATAAAATTGTCCAAAAGCAAATTCTAAAATTAAATCTTTTGAATAAAATCCTGTTAAAAAAGGAAACCCCATTAAAGAAAAAGAGCCTATAAGAAAAAAAACATAAGTCAAAGGAAGAAAAGATAATAAACCCCCCATTTTTCTTATGTCTTGTTCATCAATTACCGCATGAATAAGAGACCCTGCACTCAAAAATAATAAAGCTTTGAAAAAAGCATGATTCATAAGATGAAAAAGACTAATTGCATAATGAGAAAGCCCACAAGCAACAACCATATAACCTAATTGACTACAAGTAGAATAAGCGATTATTTTTTTTAAATCATTTTGAACTAAACCAATTGTGCCTGCAATAAACACGGTTAAAACCCCAACGATTGAAATAATAATTAATATAAGAGGAACAACATCAAATAAAGGAGAAGCACGAATTAATAAAAAAACACCTGCAGTAACCATCGTTGCAGCATGAATTAAAGCAGAAACCGGAGTTGGTATAAAATTTCTATTATTTTCATAATAGATAGGACTTTTTCTTTTACTTTATTTTTACTCTCATTCTAATCCCCCCATTACTCATTCATATATCAAACCCAAAACTAATACAAAAAAAAAACCTATCATAGTTCAAAACCCAAACGGAGCAGTCGAATTATATAAAACACATCAGGGAAAAAAAAAAGAAATTTCTAAATCAAAAATCAAGAATAAAATACCAATTAAAAAAAAACGTATTGAAAAAGGGCGTCCTAAAAAATTAAAGGGAGCAAAACCACACTCATAAGCAGAAACCTTTTCTCGATCTGGAATTTTTTCCCCTATCAAAAAAGAAAGAAATATAAATAACCCCGCCAAAATAAAAATAAGAAAAAAAAAAATAAAAAGATTAATCATTATCCTCGCAAAGAACTAAAAGATTTTAAAACAATTGTTCCTCGAATTCTATAATATGCAACTAAAATAGCTAAACCAATTGAAGATTCGGCAGCAGCAATAGTTAACCCCATAATCATAAAAATTTGTTCTATTAAAAGATCTATTTCTTTAGAACTTATTAAAAAAAAAAAAAAAGTTGATAATAAAACTAATTCAATAGAAACAAGCATAATAATAAAATGTCCTCTATTTAAAATTATACCCCAACTCCCCAATAAAAATAAAATAATAATAATAACTAAGTATTTATAATACATTTTAAATAATTTAAATATTGAACGTATTCATTTAAACCAACTCCCTTTATCACAATGGGCATAAAAGAATGATTTGCCCCACAAATTTCAGAACATTGTCCAAAAAAAACCCCGGCTCGTTTTATAAAAACACCAGTTTGATTTAGACGACCCGGAACCGCATCAATTTTTAGCCCTAAAGAAGGCACTGCAAAAGAATGTAAAACATCTGCCCCAGTAACTAAAAATCTTATATGTGTTTGAATAGGGATTAAAAGTTTATAATCAACCTCTAACAAACGATTCTCTCCAGAAACTAAATCCGAAGTCGGAATCATATAAGAATCAAACCCTAACGTATCCCCTTCATAATCAGAATATTCATAGGATCAATATCATTGATGCCCAATAACTTTAATTGTCAAAGCTGGAGAAATAACCTCATCCATTAAATATAATAATTTAAGAGAGGGCAATGCAATAAAAATCAATATAACAGCAGGAATAATCGTTCAAACAATTTCTAAAAATGTACCATCGATTAAATGACGATCATAAAACTTATTTTTAAAAGCTTCAACAAAAAGTCATAAAACAACAGTAACTATAATAATTAATAAAAACATAACTTGGTCATGAAAAAAAACAATTTCTTCTACAATAGGATCCCCAACATCTTGAAACTCTAAAAGTCAAGTCTCTGGACTATCCGAATAATAAAGATGATTAAACCAGAGAACACACAACCCAGCCAAAACATTTATAAAATATCTAAAAAAAGTAAAAACAAAAAGATTTTGCATTAAAGAAATTTTTATGAGCCTCATCAATAAATACATAAATATAAAAATAATCAAACCACATCGACAAAGTGCCAGTATCAACTCGCGGCTTCAAACCCAACATGTTGACGACGAGTAAATTGATTAGAGAGTAAACGTAAAAAACAAATAAAAAGAAAAGTCGTACCAATTATAACATGTAGTCCATGAAACCCTGTCGCAACAAAAAAAGTGGCCCCATAAACAGAGTCAGATAAAGTAAAAGGCGCCTCATAATATTCAAATGCTTGCAACCCCGTAAACATAACACCCAAAAAAAGAGTTAAAAATAAAGCAAATTGAGCCTCTTTTTTTAAACCACAAAGTATTGCATGATGCGCCCATGTAACCGTTGCCCCAGAACTTAATAATACAGCAGTATTTAATAAAGGAACAGAAAAGGGATTTAATGCAACAATTCCTTGTGGAGGCCAAACGACTCCAAGTTCAACAACCGGTGCTAAACTACTATGAAAAAAAGCCCAAAAAAAAGAAAAAAAAAACAAAATTTCTGAAAGAATAAATAAAATCATACCATATTTAATCCCTTGTTTTACAATTAAAGAATGGTGACCTTGAAAAGTTGATTCTCGTATAACATCTTGTCATCAAACAAACATAACTCCAACAACAACCAAAAGCCCCAAATATAAAAAAAAACTAAACCCATAATGAAAAAAAACCACTGCACCAACAGTAATAAAAAAAGAGCCAATTGCTCCAACAAAAGGCCATGGAGAAGGCTCAACCAAATGATACGAATGAAACTGCATCAAGAGCCAGTTCCCTCACTCTTACTATGTTACGACTTACAGCCTATTTCTAAGCTGGCGACGGACTATTTGTACTAACATTGCAATAACATTCATTGAAACGCACTACTTTTCAATTACTATTAAATTCAACTTCATTATCTTATTTTAAAAACAATCCGAACCCCTCCTTTTCTAAGAGAGAAATGTAGCGCGCCTAACCCCGAAATATAAGGGTCATAATACCGGACTTCAACCTTGATAGGATTAAACCCCTTTTTGTCTCAAACAGAAATTGACGACGGCCATGCAACACCTGTTAATAAATTCAAACTTCGGTAAGGTCTCTCGCGGATAATCGAATTAAGCGACGCGCTCCTCTAATAAACAATGAACAGCCAAGTCTTTTGAATTTCAATCTTGCGACCGTACTACTCAAGCGATATTATTTTACTGTATAGACTACCAGGGTACCTAATCCTATTTGCTCCCCAAACCTTCGTATTTAAGAAAAAAAAAATAAATTATCTTCATATAAAAAATTCTTTTTTTCATTTTAACATATTACAATTACGAAAAAAATTCTATTTATTTTTTTTTTTAAAAAATCCTTAACACGCTTTTTGCTTTTTATTAAAAAATAAATCCTTAAGTCTTACCGCGTCGGCTGGCACTTAATTTGACAGATTTTTTTTATCCTACCTATGTCTTACTTTCGTATATTACATAAAATTCATTACTGCTGCCAAGGGTTTTCTTTTGTTTCAGTGAAAATGTGGTTAAACTATGCATCTTCAAAAAAAGAATAAAAAACTTTTCTTTTTTTAATACAACAAATAAAAAAAATTTTTTTATTTTATCCTCACCTGTTCGCATACACTAGCATGTATAACCTAGACTAAATATTTTTTTCTCCCTAAAACCCCAGGACTAACTAACCGGGCTAAAAACAAGACTATTTTTAATTAAATCAATAATAGGAAAAGGCACAATCCCCCCCAAAAAGATAATTAAAAGAAAAGGAAAAATTACAAAAATCTCTCGTCGACTTAAGTCTCTATTAAAAAGTAAATAATTAGAGCCTCCACCAAAAGAAATACGATTAAAAAGACTAAGAGAATAAATGGCAGAAAAAAGAACCCCTAAAATAACAAACATTCCAACTCCATAATGATATTGAAAGACTGCTAATAAAGAAAAAAACTCTCCAACAAAATTACAACTAAGAGGAAAACCCATGTTCGCCAAAGACAAAATTAACATTGTAATAACAAAAAGAGGCATTGTCAAAGTCAAACCCCGATAATATTTTATTAAACGAGTATGATGGCGATCATACAAAAAAGTTACTCCAATAAAAAGAGCAGAGCTAACAAATCCGTGCGCCAACATTAAAAAAAGAGCCCCAATTAACCCCTCTATAACATGTGTAAAAAGACCCAAAGGCACAAGTCCCATATGAGCAACAGAAGAGTAAGCAACAAGCCGTTTAAAATCAATTTGACGACATGTCATTAAACCTCCATAAACAACAGCAACAACACTAAAAAAAACAATAACTGGAGACCAATATAAAGAAGCCCCCGGAAAAAGAGGTCAAGAAAAACGCAAAAGGCCATAACCCCCTAATTTTAATAAAATTCCAGCCAAAATAACAGAGCCCGCAACAGGAGCCTCAACATGTGCTTGTGGCAATCAAATATGAAATGGAATAAGAGGTAGTTTCACCGCAAAACTAAGAAAAACCCCGACTAAGGCTCATTTTTGAATATTTAAAAATAATTTAATATTAAGTAAAAGAAAATAGTCTGTTGTTCCAATCCTTTGATATAAAAAAAGTATTATAAAAAAGAAAAAGAGAGAGCCTATAAAAGTAAAAAAAAAAAAATAAAAAGAAGCACGAACCTTTTCTTCTCGAGAGCCTCAAATACCAATTAAAAAAAACATTGGTATTAATATCCCCTCAAAAAAAAGATAAAACAAAAGAAGATCAAACACTATGAAAACACCTATTAATAAAAATTCTAAAAAAAACAAGCACAAAAGAAATTCTTTAAATAAGAATTTTATTGATTTTTGGCTAATTAAAATACAAATTGGAATTAAAAAAGTCGTTAAAAGTAAAAAAACCAAAGAAACACCATCAACTGCAAAAACAATCGGGCCTCAATCTAAAGTAGAAAATATATTTCATTCTACTAAACTAAAAAATTGAAAATGACTTTCTCCGTCAAATCCACCCCAAAAAACTAAAGTACTAAACAATAAAGCCAAAGACCACTCTAAAGCCCGCTTTTTTAAAACACATTTTCTCTCCCTCGCTGTCCCTATGATGTTAACTAATGCCATAATAACAATTAAATAAATAAGAACCATTACAATAACAAACACAAAAAAAAATTCTTTAAATAAAAATTTTATTGATTTTTAACTAATTCAAATACGAAGAACCATTTTAAAACTTTTTCTCTCATTCTAAACTCCTAAAGATTTATTTTTACTCTCATTCTAATCCCCCCAGACGCATACAAATAAACTCCTAGAAAAATATCCCACTTTTATTCTAAACTCCGGAAGAGTTTTTTTTTTCTCCTCTCCTTAAAATCCCCCCGGACCCATAAAAAAAAACTCCAAAAAAAACACCCCACTTTTTTTGTAAACTCTTAAAGAGTTTTTTTTTTCTCCTCTCCTTAAAATCCTCCCGGACCCATAAAAAAAAACTCCAAAAAAAACACCCCACTTTTTTTGTAAACTTTTAAAGAGTTTTTTTTTACTCTTATTCTAATCCCCCCAGACGCATACAAATAAACTCCTAGAAAAATGTCCCACTTTTTTATCCTACTACGTACAAACAGCTAAACCATTAAAAGAACAAAAATAAATAAAAGATACACCAAAGCAAATCACCTATAAACCCGTGGGTTTGGCATTTGATTCGTTATTCTTAGAAGCTGGTAAGAAAAAAAAATGCAACCTACCAGGGGCTTATCAGCCAATATGTTAAACACCATGTCAAATTGATTTCACACATGAGCCATCATCCCTTCAACCTCTAAGGGGATCGAACTAAAAGTCGAGCCAACTACCTCATCAATTTCTACTTTGTTTTCTCTTAAAACCCCAATTTCTACCTTGTTTTCTCTTAAAGCCTCACCTTGATTTATACTGGCTCATCGGCCACCCCTTGAAGCACCTGGAGGTGTTTCTACCTTTATTTCACTTAAAGTTTGGTCTTGGCCTCTCCTCTCTATTAATGAATCACTTAATACATTTCTTATATTACCACTTGGAGCGCCCCTATTTACACTTTCTGGTGTAAGTGTACTTGTACTCCCCCCTAAAAAAGCCACATCTTCAAATTGATCTCCTAAACTATTCTCAACACCTTCTTGATTAGACCGATTATCCAAATAACCACGCCGCTCAACATGTAGATTCACCCCCCTTACGGGGACCCTTCGCCCTTCCAATTCTATAAAAACAACATCCACAGACTGTTCAGACTCTTGATTCACTTGTACCCCAACATCATTTGGTCCTTCAGTTGAATCTAGATTCACTTGTACCCCAACATTACGAGCAATAGAATGCTGGCGCACATAATTAAAATAAGCTCAAGGATGGACCCTCTCTGCACCGTCTATGCCCATTTGGTGCCTTAACCAGGCTTGAGAAGAACTACCATATCACCCAATACCAAATCCATAATTCACCGTTAACGATATACCTACAATTGTGCATAAAAAAATTTCTACGGCTGTCATTTTTAATGTAAAAAAATTGTATCTGTTAAATAAATTTGTACCAACAGACAAAACACATAGGCCTGTATTATTGCAACTGCCACCTCTAATAGCGTAATAAACACCATTATAAACATTGCAAATTTAAAAACCAGACCAAATCCTGCCAAAATTGCAAATAAAAGATGCCCGGCAGAAAGATTTGCTGCTAAACGAATCCCCAAAGAAACAGCCCTAGAAATATAACTTACTGTTTCTATTAAAATTAAAAGTGGTGCCAAGATTAAAGGAGCCCCACTAGGCATTAAAATACTAAAAAAATCTTTTTTAAATTTATAAAATCCAGAAAAAGTTACTCCAATAACAATAGAAAAAGAAAACCCAAGAGTAACAATAATATGAGTTGTCGGAGTAAAAACATAAGGACATAAACCTAAAATATTTAAAAAAACTAAAAAAACAAAAAGGGAAACAATAAAAGAAAAAT